AGCGGGTAGGATTTGTTGCTTGCAGTCCGGAGTTCGGTACGCGAGAATCCTTTCGATATCTCAGACGTTGTAGGCATCGATGACCTCTTTGGCAACGACTTTCTGAGCTTCGAGGCTGTGTGTAATTGTCAGGATGTATCGGGCGAGATATGGCTTCCATAGTCTACGTTGTAGTTGGTAGCTGGAACTCACTTGGCCTGGGGAATGACTTCGGCATTAACTAGACATTTGTTCAAGTTCAGACCTATCCAGATGTCGCTGGTAGCCAAAGTTTCGGAACTCGGGAGAGATGTGGCAGTAGCGAGGACGCACATAGTCGTCGTGAGAAGGATAGTAGATGTCTTCATGATGCCAAGTAGACTTGAGTGCCAGGCTACTGTGGAATCGTCTTGGAGGTAGATGTAGAATAGAACATATTACCTATAGTAATCCCAGAGTTCAAATACTCTCAACAGCTCACTACCGAAGCACATCATCCACAATCCTTCGAACACCAATGCTTATTGAGGCGTGACAATACCATAATGTCGGTGTCGAAGGGATAAAGTACCTGGCTTGCTAACCACTTTCGAGCATCTCGGCATCCTTCCCGCGCCGTCGAAAAGAGGAAACAATAAGATGGCTGCCAAAGGGTGACCCTTCTCTAATCGATTTCCTGCCTCGACTCCAACATTCACACGAACTTCCAAGGCTAGGAGCTTAAAAGAAGAGGAAATTACCTTCCAAAAGTGTTTGACAGAAGGTAGCTGTCATGCTGTACATCGGCTGGTTAGTTGGTATCGCCAAGGTAAAGTAGGGACACTTTCTATCTAGGAACATGTGCTCACCGCATGTTCTAAAGATTGGTCATACGGTTAACTTGCTTCCGAGAACTGAATGAAGCACAGTATGGTGCGAAAATCAACATGGACAGATCGCAGAGCACCTACCAAAGCAGACATGACGATCCCATCGCGGCTGGTAACCCACCCATCATGTACATGACAAGTCCTCTGTACCGGGAAAATTTTGCTTTGAAGGCATTCGCAATATTTTACCTTGAGAAGCTTATAAGATGGAAGATAATGTATTCTTCTGCCTTGGGTATTCTTTACAGCTCATGAAATAGAGAAGCTTCGTAGTCATCAATTCTTAAACGTTTCGTGCATGTCGTTTCCTCTAAGACCAAAACTGGCAATGCCTTCCCCTTTGCTCTTTTCCATGTCCACCTCCCATGAGTATGTATAGATTTCCTCGTAACACCAACACCGCCATATGTGCAACGTCAGGTCCATATCAACATGGTCAGGTCGCGAGGCGGAGTATTGTGAATACACGACGGTAGACTGAGCAACTGAAAGAACTAATCAAACGATGTTAGTCCGATGCAAGACTAGCTCGTGCCGTTGACAGCCGCTTGGAACGAATGTAAGCACAGCGAGTTAGATGGCGAGCCAAGACAAAGTCGCAAACTACGCAATCCCTTTTAAGCACAGAGTTCTGAGTCGAGTGGGTATAGCTGGGCCCCCATATCCCTGCTCAGTTCACATGCTTACCCATTCCATCCAAGCCTGAAGGAACCCCAGCCTGCCCTGCCTCATGTGCTCCGCAAACTCCTCAAAGTTGATGAGACCGCTTCCTTTCCGTTCGTTGATCTCCTGCTCGACAGCCTCAAGACTGGCTAGCATGGTAAGATGAAGGCGTGATCTTGGGTCCATAGCAAGCTGACGTATCGAGCGTTGCAACGGCTTAAGTTGATTCGTCTCAGTATAATGTGGGTTTGTGGAATGATTGATCTGGTTGCGCGCGCATATGATAGTGTCCACACCTTCAACGTTTTGAATGAGGAGACAGTGGATTTCGGGGTTGTCGGTGTACCATCGCCAGTTGATCGCATACAGGCCATCTTCTGCTCCTTGCTGTGCTGTCGAAGAGCTGAGCTGTGGAGCTTCTTCGGAAGAATCAGTAGTGTCATGAGCCGGAGAATCGCTTTCGCCGGCATATCTTCGCTCTGGGTAGTCTTCTAGGCCGTCGTGGTCTGCGGTCGCAAAAAAACAACGATTCAGATCCGTCCCTTCGTCTGAGGGTAGCGAGGATGTATCAGTATCGGAGGCAACACTGGTCTTTGAGGAGCTATCCGAGGCAGTCCGCAAGGCTGTCGGTGACGGTTCATCGGATGAGTCTGGCCGGAATTGGGGCATGGTGGGATCCCTGTAAGTACCAGCCGGACTTCCATTCAATGCAGGTGGTGCCAGCCATCCTTTATTGTGTACACATTCCACGATAGCATTAAGGACTTCTTCTCGAAGCTGGCACTTTATCAACAACGTGTTCCACATTGTCATGTTGTCGACGTTGGTATTTCTGGATATCTTCACGGTTTCAAGTACCCTCTCTTCAACATCATCGTAGATCTCTTGGAGTATTGCGCATGCCTCTCGCTCGGTATATGGTTTACCGTTAATATGACTGATGAACAAGTTTCTGACATGTGGTCGTCCGTTATTGAGTGTCCTGCAGAATCTGTCGATGATGCATTTCGAGAATCGAAAAACGCCAACCTGTACAATAGCTTCAACAGCAGCCTTACCGTCCGTGAAGTGGTGCATGGTCAGCGCGTCGATTGAGGCTGCTCTGGCTCGACGCTCGTTGCGCTTCTCATGTGCGTCCATGGCCATGTCCTCTTTCTCTAGGAAAAGCGGATTGAGTAGTTCGTTGAACCCCTGTTGTGTAACCTGATATAGTACCTCTTTGCCAAGGTCTTGTTCAGGCTCAGGAATTTCATAACCACCCCATCGCTCTCCGACGGGCCTGGACGAAGAGGCATTGGAGCGCGTGTCTATGTCCACGTCATCCTGGAAACGGACCCTTGAGGATGACCGTGAGCTCCTGTTGCGGGTCCAATTCTCATTTATATATGCGTTTTCAGCGTTGTCGTTCACCCCATTGACGGTCCCCAATTCGTCAGCGTCTGACTCCTCGAAACCTTCAGGCCGCGTTAGACCCTCTTCTTCGTCAATGTAATATTGTCTGCGGGCCCATCTCTGGGTGATAATGTCGTTTTGTTGTTCGTTCGGCGTCCGCGGAGAATACGTGGGTTCGGTATGGTGAAGACCTGTCGTCCATATTATCTCAGCCCGATCAGCCTCGTCGCTGTTCTGCTCAAGCAGCGGGAGAGCTGTAGTCACATCTTCTTCTCTCTTCTGCCGTAGGCGGGGATTGTTCGTGTTCGATGCAGCCATACTGCGGGGCGGAAATGCGGAGCCCAGGGGCTGGCTAGAGCGAATCGTGTCCAAAGCTGACCGCACAGTTACTTCGTCTGACAGCTCCGAGATGTAGTTTCTTGTAGCTTCCTTCTCGATTGCATAGTATGCTCTGAATATGCGCAGGATGTCCCTGCGCGATATATAGCCATCTCCGTCGATGTCGTATCCATTGAAGACTATTCTGGCCTTGACATCGGCATCAGTGTCGTGCATGCCGTCGAGCCCTTTGACCCACTCATCGAACCCGATGAGCCCATTCTTATCCGTATCATAGTATGCGAAGATACGGTCGTAGACGAGGTTCGGTGCGGCGACGAAGCCATTGTAGCGAGGCACGAATGCGTGATTAAAGTCGCGTCGATCGATGGCCCATCCTACCCCATTGGCATCAGCTGCCCACTCGGCCCCTGCGAGACAAGTAAACTGGTCCCACAAGGCCTCAATCTCCTCTGCTTCCATCTTGGTTTCGGCTACGAGGCGTCTCTTGAGTGCTGGATCGATTGAGGGGCTCATCATGTGAGGCTTGCCAGGATAGAGGGGCTCTTGCTTTGGGAGACTCAGGTATGGCGCAGGCACGCGAATCTTGTAGAAGATGTGGTTTTTGTAATGCGAATTGGTTGCTTCGCAGTTGGAGCACAGGTCGAAGTCTGGACAGTTGGCGCAGTGCCACCTGGTGCCTCGGATAGGCTTCTCGTCGCACCCGTTGCACGTAATGCCACGATGTATAACGCCCTCCAGCCTCGCGCGGTCCTCTGCAATGTGGTACAAGGTGCGCTGAAGAGTCTGGCCTTCGGGATCAATAGCATCATCCGCGTCCTCGTCGCTTCCCAAGGACAAATCTGTAGCTGCAATACTCTCAGCATCATCGAGAGCAAGGCTGTCGCCGGGAGGGAATATCTGCGCATGCCTTGCCACGGCGCGGGCTATCTGGGCACGATCCAGTGTTGTGATGTTCGGATTGCGGGCGTTCAGCCAAGTTGCGACACTGTCCGCCTGTGATGGGGACAGGGCTCGATCGGGGTAGAGTATGACCAGCAGTCGATCGAGGAACTCGTTGTATAGGCTTGTTATGGCATTTTCGATTACGATATGTTGGGCGTCTGGCTGCGCGCTTAGGATGATGTCGCGCAGCTCTGTTGGGGTGACGAGGCTGCGAGGGTCGAGGGGCACTTCGGTACCGAGTAAATCGTATCGGCCCAGAAAGGGTATGTCGCGCTCGTTCAGTGGGAGGGTAGGTGCTGGCGGTGGTTCTCGCGGGCGCCGTCTGCGGACCGCGTTGCTGCGCTGGAGGCCATCGCCCGGGCCAGGGCTTTGGACCGTGTTGTAGATGAGATATGCCGCGTATCCAGCTGACACACCGGTGAGGAACAATATAGCGGGCGTATAGCGGGACACGGTAGAGGGCGTTGACGCCGTCATGCTAGAGCCGACTCAGACGAGCGGTGGCTGGTGAATGCGCAGTCCAAGTATGATAGAATAGAGGTTGAGAAGAACATGGCAGGTAGCGTCCTACCAAGAGTACTGCAATCACCCGTTTGACGTCTTCATGGCTTCGAAGGAACGATCAGACGCGCTCTGACCAGAATGCTTGTAACCCGTGGGCCCTCTTACCCACATTGCGACAATCGCGGCTGACTCAGCACCAAGCTCACGGACTTCCGAAGCTTCGCATTGGGCAGAACACCTTCACGCAACAAAGCCAGAGGACGCATGCTTTGAACATGGTAGTGCTGTATGACCACTCAACTATCTATTCTACCACGCAGCATGGCCGCCGTCCATTCTTAGGTCCGCCCCCGTCATGAACGAACTCGCATCGCTCAGCAAGAACACCGCTGCACCACGGTATTCCTCAGGCTTCGACAGACGACCCAACATGTTCTGTGTCGGCCACGTGTCTCTACGCTCTGGGTATTTCTTGAAGAGCTCCTCCACCATTGCAGTCACAATGTACCCTGGCGAGATTGTATTGACGCGGATGTTATGCTCGCCCCATTCTGACGCGAGGTTGCGCGCGAGCTGCATGACACCGGCTTTCGACGCGTTGTATGCCGAGCAGATGAGACCCTGTTGACTTGGTTAGCACAAGACATGGTAACGAGTCGAGGTAGTCGTACCCTATTTGCAACTGTACCAGACATGCTCGCGATGAGCACGATACTTCCGCCACTTCCAAACTTGATCATTTGCTTCGCAGCCGCTTGCGCAGTCATCATGACTCCCGTGATGTTGACTTCGAACATGCGGTTTGCATCCTCAGCAGTGTATTCCAACGCAGTCGTCTCTTGTTGGATGCCGGCCGCAGCAATCAGCCCGTCAAGTCTACCCTCCTTGTTGGCGATTTCCTCAACAATCTCATGGAGCTTCTTGACATCTCGCACGTCTATTTGGCGGTATTCGAGCGAAGTTCCGAGTTCGTTCTTTGCTTTCTCAGCAATTGGCGCAAAGTCTGCTGAGGGTTCCTCGAGTCTGTCAAGTGCGTATACTGTGGATCCGTGTTAGTTGTCTGTCCAAGCTCTCGACAGTCCAGCTCGTTGGAAAGACATACCTCGTGCGCCAGCTTCCAGCAATGCTTCGGCTTGTGTCAGACCGAGTCCTCGAGCAGCACCCGACACCAACACTACCTTCCCCGCTAGGCTAAACTCTGGAAGTCCTTGAGTCTTTGGCATGGTTTGGATCATTTGGACTCAATTGTGCAAGATAAAAGGTGGGGATATTATGAAAATCGGGGTATGCGCAAACAAGGTCGCTCAAAGTCAAGTATTTATACACAGAAAAGGAATGCGAGATCGGTTCGTAGAGTCGACGCAAACCGGGACCATTGTGGATTTTAAACCGGCCCCAGGCGGAGAGTCTGGTCACCGGACTTTCTTGGAGTAGGCCTGGCCTCGTACTGTCTTCCTCCATTGCATGCATGGCACGATTGTGGAAGACTCCAATACTCTTGTTTGCGGGGAAGCATACCGGCATCTTCGATGGATTGCCCGATTGGGCATACCGAAAGGCCCCCGCGGGGGATCTCTGGTATACTTTTTTGGAACGTCAACCACGTCGACCTTGCGTGGCTTGGACCAAGAGCCAGTAGGGTACCCGGCCTCGAGACGAGTGCGTTCGGCTCGGGTTCGGGACATGAATTTGTTACGGCCGTGAAGTTTGGGATACGTGTTTGCATAGTATACTACCTAGGTACCTAAGTCAACCAAAAATGCATCATCAGTTCGAGACACAAACCACTACGATAGTGACTTGTTCCTGTACAGCTTCGTTCCCAGAATGGTGCAGTATCATGCGCTCTTGGACCCTTTCATCACGCACAAGGCGCTTTTAGAAGGCCATGGACCTTTTCACGCTTTTGCATCCAACCTACATACAACTTTGGAACTGTTCAACATGTGAACGCAGAGCTTGATGGAACACACAAAAGAGGAACTGCTTTATGACGGAAACATGGTGTCAGCATTAGATTATGCTTACACAATTGTCTTCCTGGCGAATCGCATCCTCAATGCATCATCTTGACTCAACCTGCAACAGCCTTGCCAACTGCGCCCTCTGCGCCCTCTCATCACATGAACCGCTGCGGGCCTGATCGCTCAGCAACCGCCTTGAAGACCGCCTAGGGCATAATTACACAATCACGCAATGGTACGTTGCCTGGAGTTTTGGTAGAATCCCGCGACCAAAAGGCACAGCTAAGCCCCAGCGTGATGTGCGCTGGTGTGGCACAGTCCTGTGTCGCGAAGCGCCGTCCAACAGCTTAACTGTAAGACTGAAATACCAGATGCTGAAAGCGGATATCAACATGCGGCATTGAAACAACAGATGCCTTGAATCATTAAAGATATGTCAATTATATTTGGAGATCTCCACCTGTTGTGCGCGTTCGAAAGGGGTGCTGTCGCGGGTCACAGGCATGGCGGTCGGCCCTCGCGACTCCCACGCTGCAAGCGTCACCATTACCTAGGTATCATCAACTCATGCGATAGAAGGTTTTTCCATTCATTGTACTCAACACATAACCTCACAAAGGATAAGGTTGCCAAATGGCCATACAGTGCGCCTCACTCGCATGGACTGGGACGCCAAAAGCCGCCCGACAAGGCTGACCCAAGGCCCAACGTGCGGGGCAGTGCATGCAGATGATTAGAGGCGCCCGCAAAGCCATCGTCCAACGGGAACCGCAAGATGAGACCCGCCTTGACACCTGAGGAGAGCACAGGTAGGAATGTCTCTCTCAAGTTGATTGAGGCGTTGTTGAGGATGCATGGGATCCTTGAAGTCGCGAATATCTTGTGAGGCTGCTGCGCCTTAGGCCGGCGAATGGGTTTGTTGTGTATGTGGACTGAACTGATTGATTAAGATAGCGAGGTCGCAAAAAGAGATATGTAGTAGGTAGATTCGCGCTTCGAGGCCATATTCCGTATACAAGTCCATCATTTGGTACTTCTTTGCTCTTCACACATCGCATACAAAACATCATCACATAACACACAGCCAGCCACTTCACTCAATGGCACCACACACTCTCACCCTAGACGACTCGCTTACACTCTTAAGACGTTCAGAGTACTGCGAAACAGCCTACGACTCTTCCTGCACAACGCACCGCACCATCATCCTCGTCATCATCATTTTCGTCGGTGCCTTTGTCGGCGTCGTACTCAGCTTGGTGTACGTGCGAAGTCGCAGTCGCAGATACGCTCGAGAACGCGCTGTGCGCGCCAATGGTGGGCTGGGAAATGGGCTCAAAGTGCTCGGAACTGAAGATGGCGTAGCGACAGTGAGATTACCGTCTGGAAGGATGATCAGGGGGAAGACGGGGGGTTGGGATGAGAGAGGCGCATTCGAGGCGCCACCACCACCATATATGCCGAGAGTACCTGAGGTTGCTAGAGTATACCGTTGAGAGAAGTGAGCCAGTGTCCACAAGAGAGGATGTTCGCCGTTGTCGAGGAGCTGGCAACAAGGACGCTGTGTGCTCTCATCGAGTTCGTCGACTCATTACAGCGCCACTTCCCAGAGGCAAAGTGAGAATGCATCCACGGCCAAGAACAACTATAGAACTCCGCAACAAGCCCGTGGCCCCTATACTTCCACGATCGCTACCAGGACGAGCCTTCTGAGATTGCGGGGAGCTTCGCAATCGAGACCTACCCTCCGCCTCTCCGTGCATGTAGCAGCGGCTATGCGTGTATCGCAACGAAGACTAAGATGCCATCGGTTGCAGAAGGTGGCACCAAGAGTATGGCAATGGAGGTACGGAAAATCATAGCAGTCCCTACGTTGGGTTCACCTATATCAAATCCCTAGATTTCCAATATCATCATGAAAATTTCCCATCGAAGAAAGAACGAACGCCACTCTCTACCAACCCCTTCTCGCTATATAGATGACCAGTCTTGCCAGTCCGCTTCTGTCTTCTTATCAAGCGCCCTGCAAGCCAAGGCCTACTCCATCTCCGTTGCCCATGGCGCCATCGTCTCTGCTTCTGTCTCTTCCTCTACCCATTTCCCTGATTCTGCGGCCCTCCATGAGGCCCCTCAGTCCTCGCTTTTGTAGCCCAACTACTGCACTCATCTCCCCATTCCATGTCTCTCGGTCTTCGATGCCACTTCCATCTCCAAATCCGCTATCAGATGCTGAAGCTGATGTTGCTTCAGACGCCGCTGAGCTGACTTCGTCATCGTGATTCCGATCTACATCAGTGTTGACGCGGAGTGCGCGAAGGCCAGCATCCAGGCTCCGTTCTACGTCGGCAACTGTAGTATTGTTGCTTGAAACAGAGGTTGAGAAGCCATTCGTTGTTCCGTTCGTGCCTGACACGCCGTTGACACCCTTGAACGCGATACCGGAGCCGCCGCCAGCCGCCATGGCTGCAGCGTTGAAGATTGCCGCAGTGTTTCTGTTGTCTAATAAGATATGAAGTCTCTCGATGATCGCTTCCAGTAAGCCGTCGATGTGGTATGGTCGCGCCAGCTGAAGTAGAGAACAAAGAATCTGCGGTGAGCATAGGGGTGAGTTATGTGGTGGTAGTGATGATGTGTATAGGAAATGTATAAGGGCTTGAAGTGTAAGATGTGTGTGTGGGAGGAATAATGTTCGAGGCCGTTGCGATGGCGAGTGCGATGAAGGTTCTGGGGGGCTCAGTGAGGAATAGGAGTTCGCTGATACGGCTGTGGCCTCGGATGGCGTTATAGTGTTGGCGGTGAGTGTTGTTGCGGTTGAGTAAGTTGTCCTGATAGAAGGTGTAATGGTGATGCTCGAGTTCCTTGATGGATGCATTGTGGCAGTAGGTCGTAGAGTCGCTGCCTCAGCATTTTCTTTCTCAGCGCTTTGGGCACTCTCGCGGAGCAGCTGATTGAAATAGGGGCCCCAGCGTCGAGCAATAATGTGAGAGTTAACGGGGATGCGCTCGCCGTGTAAGGCTAGGAAATCCATGTCCGCAAGTTCTCGCATGCCTAAAGCCAGCTGACCTAGCTCGGTGGCCGCGGGTAATAACGTGCGACCGCCTGCAAGCATATCAAGTCGATCGTGCTGGGGCGGTGCGCTTACAGAGCTGAATCCCGATGCTGGTGTTACTTTGCGTGGATTATCGTAGAGTCCAAATGCCTCTAGTTCAACCACGCATATGTTCGAGAAATTGATGCGCCGATGATTGTAGTCTTCAACCAGACTTCTCTTGCGGTTTCCAAGAATAACGAAGCTATTTCGACGGTTCCACAACACTCCTCTGTTCCAGCTACCCTGGCTGAAGATGTTACCACCAGCTTCGATGCGGCCCCAACTTAGTGTTCGCAAGTCGAGAGCCCATAAAGCATATTCTTGTTTTGAGGAGGTCAAGAATGTACCGCTTACTACAAAGTGATTGTTTATGACACCGCCGTTTGGAAATCGGAGGCCTGGTGGTGAGAAATTGCCGTGCATTGGCTTCTCGGACAGGGTTCCATCGGGATGCCGTACTTGTAATTCGAGCTTGACGTCTAGGAAATTGTAGTTGGAATATATGAGCATTGATGACTCGCCAGTCTTGTTGGAGATCCGCTCTTCGGGTGCTCTTGCTTCGCCAGCTTGCCGTGTTCCTCCGCCAATATCGCTGGGGTCGATACTGGTGAGAGGCGCAACCACGCTTCGATAAGCGCCGCAACTTCTGCCTAATGTGCTCGTTTCCGTCCATTTGAGGCTCCGGAGATTGAAAACGCTAATCTGCTCAATGTAGTGGTTGGCACTATCCTGCCCGCCCACGACGAGCATTTCCGCGCCACCCTCGCCGTCCAACTGCACGCCAAGAGAACCCTGGTTCGGATTCGATGAAGGTGGGTTGTGCCGTATGGCTGTTACAGCGGCTGATGTCGAACTGAAAACGGCAGAGCTTGGAAGTATGGTTGCGCAATGTGCATAACGACCTTGGGGTGGATCGGTTGTGGCGACATGCATCCACTCTCTTGTAAGCGCATCGTAGATGTGGACATCGGACATGACCACCACTTCAGGTTGAGCATCGGCAGGAGCACCTTGTATCACAGAAGTTGCTTGGTTAGAAGACGGACTTACAGGTGACATGCCTCCATAACAGACGAGTTTCGTGTCACCAAGTGGGCAGACGCTGTGGAAATACCGAGGGGGCGGAATATCACCTTTTGCATCGACCTTTGTCCAGTGGCGCTTGACGAGATCGAGTTCGTACAAGTCCGACGTAAGCTGCGGTCTCGTCCGGGAGAGTCGGCGGCCGCCAAAAACATATAATTTGTCGCCTAGTATGGTGGTAGTGGCGCCCACGAGGGGATGCGGTTCTCTTCCAGTTGTACGATGTACATTGCAGACTAAACCCGACAATCCTGCCGTTGAACTTGTCGGTGTTGCAAGTCCTGCGAGCATAGCTGGAGACTGAGACATGCCAGGCGTCCGAGTTGAAGATGTTGGTGGCCGGTCGGATCCGCCATCTTGACCGTCTTGATGATTCAAACTTGTTTGGCTATTGTTCAAACTCGATGTAAAAGGTGCCGATGTTTGGGAATCCAGGGTGTGAGTTCGGCTAGCCATGCTGCGCGGGCTTTGTAGCGAAGCGGTAACGTGCTGAGGTCCACCAAGATCAAGAAGTAGCTCGACGGAAGAGGATGAGAATTTCTGTAGAGGTATAGCCCAATTTGGTATCACAATCTCCACATGACGAGACTTAACGCTGGGAGATCTGATCAGGGATTTGCTGCTCGGCCAGGGAATTCCGGAGAGGCTAGGACAGCTACTCGATGGCGGAGAGCTGAGGTCAAAACTCGTACAGAGACTTTTAGGTGTTACAATCTGATCATGGACGATGGGCACGTGCTTAGATTCGATTCGACGAGACCAATTGGATTCCAGTGGAGTTTCCAAGTGGACCCTGCGATAAGTGCTGGAAAGAGAACCCGTAGAGTCGACAGAACGTTTCTTTCTGGTCAAGACCTGTCTGATGTTTATTTCTCTTGGTCTTTTCCAAAACAACGATGTGTCGCCCAATCGCTCGGTACTAGCACCGACAGAGGGATAGAATAAACCTAGAGGCAGTGCCATGGTTAGCGACCAGTATGCAGGATGAGATTGGAGATGCAAAGTAATGCTGAAAGATGAGGAATGGCCTGGTTTTGAAATGATCTGTCATGGGCTGCAACATACTTCCAATGCAGGCGTCTTTGCAAGGTGCGGGTTACAAAGAAAGGCCCTACCGCAAGTTGAAAAGCCATCTTTACACATTAGGGAAGGGCATGTTGCTGCAGTGCGACTTGCTACCGTGATACGAACAGTGATCTTACGACGCAGCGCCTTATGGTAGGACAATGAAAAATTCCAGCTCTTTTTGAGATGTAATGGCTAAGGATACGGGAAGGGAAAACGACACAACATGTTGATGCTGGCGGCATGGGCTGAAAATCGACAAACGAAACAAAGAGAGGGGTGCAGGCTTATAAAAGGAAGACGAGCCTTACTTTTGAGCGAGAATCGCCACACACGGGAGCGAGCGGGGAAGATGATCCAGGGGAACGGTAGACGTATGCAGAGAAGGAAGAGGCGGTATTCAACGCGTGGTGCTGCTGAACTCGCGCGATACAGATGACAGCGAGGTTCGTGTGGAGGCCTCTACGCTGGAAATGGACTAGAGCCTTGGCGAGAATCGTCAGTCCTGGCGCCTGCAGGTTCGCTAGCAAGGTATCGATGTTGGACGTATTCAGAGGCAGAGCGGCTGCAGCACTCTGATAGCTGAAGACTTTCCGGTGGGGTGAAACAGTAGTAGGCAGGGCAGGCGACGGAGGGTGTGGAGGCGGAGGGAGATCCGAGCTGGAATGATAGGCTGAGACTTGACAATCAGACCGTTAGAGGGTACCCCGAGCCACAGGCGCCAATTTCAGGCCGCAAGGACGTCAGTGTGCGATACCAGCGATACCAGCGATACTGACGTCCGTTCTCGAGATGCGAGGGCACCGCACACTTTTGGCTCAGCAAGGCTTGCAAAGAGGATTCATCGACGCAAGAGCACGGTCGCGAAAACAAATTAGCGCAATGAATGTTGGGGCAACAAATCAACAATCGTATGTTCAAGATTAGAGGCGCTGTTAGCGTAGGAGGCCCATCTGGATGTTCATATCGGATGATCGGTGAAGCTGGACTAGTACCTGGGAAAGCGGTATTTGGAAGTTACTATGGTAGTCGGAGGCTTCCTGGTAGTGCGTCGGACTGGACCGAGACGTAGCCTCTCGCTATTTCGCACCGTCGCTCTTAATTTCAAATTGGAGCCCAGGTACTAGCAGTGCGCTTCAAAGCCGACGAAAAGACGACCTAGTATCGCGCCTTTGTTACAACACTGTACATGGAGAAACTAATCGATATTCCCCAAACCGCGTTGCTTTGAGTCTCGCAAAGGACGCGTATGGTTGCGAAACGCATGACTCGGGTACATCGCAAAAGAAAGAGCTTGGTAAACCTCGGAACACTCTCGTCTGTTATTAAGTTTTTGAGACCTTTACTGCTCTTTTCCCGCCGTTTTTAGTCTCGCCTTTCCCGTCGCTCACTCCCTGTTTCTCTTCTTCTTCTTCACCTTTCCACTCTTCTGACATTCTCTTCAACGCTGACGACTCTGCTACTCTGGCTCCAGGAATCACTCCAAGAGGTTAGGTGATGATGGATACGAGGGTAAGCGGACACGCTCGCATGGTCCGCCAGCCCACTCGAAAGCCCGCCAGTCCCACCTCGGTACCATGTTCCCTGATGGCAACTACGGTTTCACTCCTGCCGATTATCAGTACCTCGAGTCGCGCTGAGGGACTCTGCTTTCTTTCAGATTCGCCCGCGGCCACTTTTGTGGTATTCTCTACAAAATGCTAGGTTATGTTAAGAAGGTATTGGCGAAGACAGGAATGAGCGATCTTTGTTGTTATTATTCCGGGTGTGCCCGTCTCTCCAGTCGTTAGATGGAATCTTTAGATACGACTTCGCTCAGAGTCCTGGCGCGTCTCGCTTCTTATGTATCACCGTCTCTGGTGGCTTTGAAGAGCCATCTTAGAGAATACACTTGAACGTCTTATCAACACACGGCTTGCAACACTGTATCAAAGAAAAAAAAACTTCCTCTTTAAGAGTACTCCTTCCTACTACAAAAGAGCATACAGAGAGCTATATAGATATAGATGAAAAACCTAGAAGACTATAATACTGTTAATCTTGATAAGTTATCTTATTAGAAGATAATGTAGGCTGCAAGGTAAAGCTTGTTATGTCTACACCTGTTCGGTTTTTCCCTCGTATACGGTGCAAGGTAACTTTGGCCCACGAAACGTGACGTTGTTGACCAATAGTCGCAAGTGATATCAGCATAGCATGGCTATTAGACACGACCTGGAAAGCATGCGAAGGTAGACCAACTTCATTCTCATGATTGTGCCTTGTCTATTCTCACAGCTAAGCATAGTCTGGGCTATAATTATTCGATGGATCCCAACAGCCATCGCCACAATATTGGTATAGGCTGTCATGATTGTCTCATCTCAAGGTATCTTATCGTCGATAATGTTTGCGTCTATGCCGCAGTCGTCTTCTCTTTCCTGTTTATCAAGTCAGCGCATGTCTCGAAAGCATTTCGTAACTATAAAACTTACGGGAGAGGAGTAAAGCGCAGGTAAGGCTTAACAATTCTGATATCAGGGAACATGGTCTTGGCGTCCTCGGTCTTAACAGAGGGGTGGACGATAACGTCATCACCTGGAACCCAGTTGATAGGAGTAGTAATTTTGTGCTTGTCACCAGTCTGCAAACTGTCCAAGACACGCAAGACCTCCGCAGTGTTCCTGCCTGTGCTTGCTGGGTAAGAAAGGATGAGGCGGATGGTCTTCTTGGGGTCGATGATGAAGACTGAGCGGATTGTAAAGGCGATTCCCTTGCTATCGACGTTGGTGGCATCTTGGTGATCGATCCTGGCGATTGTCAGACGCGTGTCACTAGCATCGTGTGATTCCTCCTACTCACATGTCGTATGCCAAGGCGACCTGCCTGTCCTTGTCGCCGATGATGGGGAACTTGAGGCTGCTTCCCGAGATCTCGTCAATGTCCTTGATCCAGCCTCCATGACTTTCTACTGTGTTGGCTGAGAGACCAATGAGCTTGGCACCGCGACGGCTGAACTCAGGCTCCAACTTGGCGAAAGCACCGAGCTCAGTTGTGCAGACAGGAGTGTAATCCTCAGGGTGAGAGAAAAGAATAACCCAGTTGTCGCCGATGAACTCGTGGAAGTCGATGGGTCCTTGGGTCGTCTCGGCCTTGAAATTGGGGGCCTTGGAGCCGAGCCTGAGGGGTTCTGGTCGGTCGCTCATTGTGTCTTCTGTGCTCGTGCTCATGTCAGTCGTGTCCAAGCAAACTCCGCAAACATGTGGGGTAAGTGGCGGGGCAGGCGAAAGCAAGTTGCCATACCTGAATCTTAGTTCCGTGTACAAGTGGGCTTGAAGAAGATGTCAAAGTATCTTCCGAGCGATTGATTAAGAAGCTGTAGGTTTGTCAGAGGGAGAGTCGAAGTAGTGGGGTCATCTGTCTTCTTGTAAAGGCCGTACCTAACAATCGACAAGCAACACTTCTAGCTAGCGTATATGGCGTCATGTCACGTATCTCCACCAAAGCTTTTCTGCCGCTCGAATATTCCACGTCGTTGGCCAGCAGGCGAATCATAGACTCGATATCTCCGGCGGTGCTGCGCTGCCAATGAGTCGCCCCTCCTGCCGAGCATTTGTCGCAATTGGAGGCTGATAAAAGCCAATGAGACAGATAGGAAATTCCTCATCGCTGCTCTAGTATGCGCTGGGTAAGCATCCTCCAAATCGGGTCAGATTATTCGCGAACCGTTCAACGAGAAGACCACCGTTCATGTGAGGCGAGATCCTAAGGACGTCAGGCTTTGCAATGTGCGTACTGTCTGCTTGTCTATGTTGGTGTTGGTACCTAGGTATCATGGCGGGTAGCTCGACTGCGTACCCCGGTACCTATGTATTTGGCAAAGCGATTGAAGGAAGTTTCGTTCATCACCGGTTCACCATATATCACTTCGGCAAACAATGCTCCTAGGGCAGTGCGCGGAAGCATGGGGTCCGCTCTCAGGCTGGGTAACTCTGTTTCAGCGCGTGCCCTTGTCAATGCATCGCTGAACAGCTGTCATCTGTCATGTCGCGCGAAATCCATCATGGTCGTGGCTTCAAGCTTCTCGCAGCCGGTGCGACATGAAGGCTGCAGATTCATGTGTTACATATGAACATCACTACTTCTACTCCTCCATGCGGTCCCCTGGCAGCAGCCTTGCGCAGCTCCTAATTGCTCTGCGCCTGGCGGTTCATCGAACATTTAGGCCGAACATCCGAAACTAAACATCCGCTATCCCCACTTTTCAAAGACATTACATCTTGTACCGGTTATCGCAGAATCGGAGAGCGAAGAAAGTGTTTGCTTTTGGGAAAGTGCCGGTACTTCCCGCTGGCATTGTCGCTGGTCGGGGAGCCATTCGCTCGTCCGGGTTGAGTTGTCTCTGTTCGAGGCACACCAGCATCCTTCCCGCATGACGCATCAGATCGACCCTGTTTTCCGCCCAGTTCAAAGATTTTGAGGCGGCCTTGGCGTGTCAGTGAGCACGATAATTCCCAAGTTTAGCCCGAAGCGGGACGCCCCATGCAAGGCGGGCCTGGACGATGGAGAAGTACTCCTATTCCCGACCAATACAATCAACTTTTGTCCACCACTTCGGAATAGAACCGGGCGTCTCACACCGTCCAGTTGTTCGTTGGGATACATTTCGGCTACGGGTGTGTGGGTTAGCGGACCAGACCTAACCCGCCGCTTAAGCTATGAAGGTCGAGCTTTTCATCGTCACCGGATTCACGCTTGCTCTTGAACTCTGACGCGTTCATTACGATATCTCCAGCACACCCTTTTGGCCTTTCTATTGAAGAGAAGGAGTTCGTGGCAGCATGGCTGCCAATCCAGAGATCAACCTTCCAGAGACCTCTGAGCTTGGAGCTACCGATTCGCGAAGCCAAGCGGGAATAAGCATATTGCCGGACATGCACAGGACTTCGGCAGAGGAACCCGCAAGTCACGATTCCACAACCGAACCAGACAACGAGCCAGAGAAAGAATACTATTATGGAAAGAACAGCGCCAGTAGCGAATTCGCATCGCAAAAAGACATTCAGAGTTCAGAAGTCGTTTGGCGATATCTCACATTCGACGTCGAACTTCCGCATCCGACAACTATCCATCCGACGCAACCCGATCAGGAAGCTCCACCTGGGCCCCCAAATCTTACCAAATATACGAACCCTTTCGATTGGTCCGAGACAAGAAAAAGATTCACGATATGCGTGTCATGTTTCATCACGGCGCTTACTGCGTTCTCAGCCGGAGCTTACAGCCCGGGCGTTGGGCAAATGACGCAGGAATGGGGTGTCAGCAGTGTTGCAGCGCTTGTCGGCATCACGACCTTTACGACCGGCTTCGCCATCGCGCCGATGGTTCTGGCCCCCTTCTCTGAGATCAATGGCCGACGACCAGTTTTCCTCGCTTCTGGTATACTATTTGTGATATGTCAGCTCTGCTCTGGCCTCACGCAGTCTTATGCTGGTATGCTCGTTGCGCGGTTCTTTTTGGGTGTAGGTGGATCTACATTCTCGACTATGGTTGGCGGAGTGGTGTCTGACATATACCATGCTGAGGATCGCAACACCCCCATGGCTCTGTTCTCGGGCGCTGCATTGTTCGGCACGTCCTGGGGGCCATTAGTGTGTGGCTTTATTGCACAGAACACGTCTTGGAGGTGGATATTCTACGTACAAGCTATTGCATGCGCGGCAGTGGTCGTGCTGATGTGTGTTGTATTTAAAGAAACCCGCGGATCAGTTCTTCTGTCCAAGAAGGCCAAAGCTTTGAACAAGTGGTACGAGGCCCGCGAGGCGTCCGGATATTATGGCTTCAACATCCACGATGCCGAAAAGCCTGAGAACATGGTATCGCAACGTTTGAGATGGAAAGTACGATCAGATGAGGAACGGGCTTCTCTCAGCAAGATGATAGGAGTCTCTCTTTACCGACCATTCCATCTTCTCTTCACCGAACCCGTAGTATTCTGGTTCTCGCTCTGGGTGGCCTTTTCCTGGGCTGTACTTTATCTCACTCTAGCGGCCATTCCACTGGTGTTCCAGAGCAACCATGGTTTCTCACTACAACAAGCCAACGCTGTCTTCGCGTCTATGGGAATAGCTAGTATCTTCTCGACTATATTGTCAATTTACCAAGAGAAAATTGCGAAGAGGAACGGAAAACTAACAGGCACTCCCGAAGGCCGCCTCTACTTTGCTTGCATAGAAAGCGCCTGTATGCCTATTGGTCTTTTCATGTTTGGTTGGACGAGCTTCCCTGATATTCATTGGGTTGTACCAGCAATCGCAATTGGTATTGCTACTATCGGAATCTTCAGCATCTACCTTGCGACCTTCAACTTTCTCGCAGATACGTATCATCGCTATGCGAGTTCAGCACTAGCGGCGCAGTCTTTCTGCCGGAACATGCTTGGTGAGTCGTCTTCGTTGATTACTAGTGGACATATGCTGACTTCGATACAGGCGGAATCTTCCCACTTATTACAACTCAAATGTATAATAAACTTGGCTACGGCCCAGCGAGTAGTCTGCTGGGAGGAATTGGCGCATTGTTAACCATAGTACCTTGGATTCTGGTCTTCTATGGTCCTAGGATCAGAGCGAGAAGCAAATTTGCAAGCGAAATCATGGATGTTACCAGTTGATGAGTGAGAAGGCAGCATCAGAATACATAGCGACAAGCTTTTCGATAGTTAAATATCTCGTTTTTACTGCGGCTGAAAGACTTTTCGGTCATGAGTGCCAGCATCAGAAGACAAAACGCCGACTCGCGCAGGCATAGAGTGTTGTCGCCAGATGCAAGCAAGTAGGCAATCTTTTGATAGCGAGGTCGCCAAATTGGGTTAGGAAGTCAGGCCCGCCATCTGTTGCATCATTCGCAGGGCTGCAGCAGTGAGCCGATCAACCGTAACACAGCCTCACGACTCAGCCTACCATCCACCGTCTACCAAACGATGCGCGTGCACATCCTGCTGTGGGCGAAATTTGTACTCGTGTCTGTATTCCCGTTCCTCATCTCCACTAAGTTTTTGAGTGGCGATAGAACGGATATGCCATAACAACACTACGGCTCTTTAAATGCTACTCGTGTCCACTGGCCACTATGGACGACCTTCTTCCATCCTACGAAAGCGTGATGCGACGCGATCCTTGGGTGCTCGTCGCTCCATATCTGCCCTCTCAAGATCTGTGCTCTGCAGCTCTAGTTTGTCGGCAATGGCACCAAACTTTCACACCGAACCTCTGGGGTAGTCCAGCCTCACATTTTGGGGTCGAGAACGATACTGTTTATGGTAAGATACTACAACATGAAGGCTAGTCTACTATCTAACGCCTGATAGTGGCACTCACACGGTTTAAGCGTACTTTGCCTTATGCGCGAGCCTCCGTACGGGAGCTTACGCATACTTTACGTTTTCCGCCAGCCCATGCGGAGCTGTATGATGGGCCGCATGCAGAATGGCTCCGAGACTGCCTCGAGCACCTGCCTCGTCTACAGTGCTTGATCGTAGATAGCCTGCCATTCTTCGATCATGCTTCTCTCTTGAGCCTGCGACACTCGAGTCTGCGATGGAGGTCAGCTCGCCCCACTGCGTATCCAGTGTTCGGCTTACGCCTACTCGACGCTTCCAGCTGCATGAATGCAACATCAATGGGTCTTGCTGAAGCCCTACCACATTTTCCAGATCTCGTCTCATTGGATCTATCAAAAACTGCAGCTGCGAGAGACAAGGCAGTTCTATCCACCCTAAAGTACCTCCGGAATCTAAGAGTCCTGAACCTCCGTGGCACTGGAATCAAGGATGAAGAGTTTTCGATAGTTGCGCACGCAATTGGAAGTCGTGTTAGAAGTCTTGACATAAGCAACAACTTCTTGACAGACACTAGCGTCCGACTCCTTCTCGAGTTATGCTTGAAAGAGACTACTATTGCAGCGCATACCTCTCGTGCCCCACTGCCGCCGGTTCAGAATGCAGTCCCTACCGACGAACCGGGGGCGTTCGAGTCAGAAAATCTTGTGGGTCATCTTCGCAAGAAACTCACTGAGGGTTTCGTCGGTAGCCTTGCAATAGAAGAAACCAGCGATGTCGGAGTATCACATTTATTTCTCTCGAGCAACGCCGTAACTGTTGAAGGCATATCGGCTTTACTGCGGTCTGGGCGTTTGCAGGTCCTGGATGTAGGCATACTACCTGCTGTAGTGAGAAATCCTACTGCCGTCTCGCCAGGATCACCGGACGACGACTTAGAGCTGCCTAGCGTATCAAAACTCGCTCCCGTTCTGAATGAGTATGCTTCGGGTAATCTGAGATATCTGAGGATCAACTACGAATTGGTAACAGAAGATGCGCCTCTCGAAGTGCCCAGATCGCCACGCGCGGAACTCGACGGGGACCTTGGCATATATAAGCCTACAGGTGCGCATGAACTCGAAGCTGTCCAACTACCGATAGCTGAGCTTGATTCGCAATCTGCGGCTGTTCTTGAGGCGCCTGGGGATGCATCATACCCGGCTGAGCTTCCTGGCTCGCCAATAGCATCTCTGTCCTCAGCACCTATCAAGTCAACTTCGGGCAACGCTGATAATGACAAGCAGAGCGCCACAATCGTTCCTGAGATAAGCGTTACTCTGCAGCCACTACAGATCAATCGAGGCCCTGCATATGCCCCAGAGCCCATGCCTGTAGATCCGCCGTTGACTCCACTTAGCCCCTTAAGGATCAATGAGAACTACCAGCCTGGCTCAGTTGAAGGTGTTCCCAACACACGAGGAACCTTTGCACCACCCACAACAACTTGTGATAGTAACATGCCGTCCCAGCTGACAGGCAATACTGCGATTAGGTCTCGGGCGAGCTCCTTCTACTACATCGAAGACAGGAAAGCTCGTTTGGACTTTCGTCAAGCATCTCAGCCTCGACTACATCCTGGAGTGCTTCCAAAGCTTCACACTCTTGTTCTTACCGGCGTACCAACCATGACAATCGAGAAGAAGATTATTCATCGAATCATACAATACATCCAAGACGCGGCTGAGGAAGCCTCAATTGCTAGGAAGCGCGCTAGACATACATACGTACTTCCACCGGGCCGGAGACGTATTGTTGCAGAAGAAGAGTATGCACGCAACCAATTCGCCCTTCGAAGAGTGGTGCTTGAGATGGCGCCCCCGCAGCCAACGCCAAAGAAGATCACCAGTAGTTGGCGGGCTTATCCAACGAAATCATCTACAGAGGACAGAGATTCAGAAGCATTTTGGGACGCTGCAGCGCATGACTTCTCCTTCTTCGATGACGAAGAGTGCGGGCAACCCGGTCGTGAGCCAGATCGCACCCTTCCTTTAGCAGCTATGGATGGGCTAGAACTTGCACCTAGCCATCCTGCCGTACCGGCAGAGCCAAGCAAAAATATACTTGAAACGGGGCCGTTGCTTGATGTGGCAGGAGAGATAGGAAAGTTTCGCAGAGAAAGGAAAGCCGCTTATAACAATTTAATGGCGATGGGCGAGGCTGAACCGGATGTGGAGGGATACTGGCCTGGAGACATTACGGTCCTGAGGAAGCCAGTAAACTCAGAAGCTGGCGAACTTGACTGCTATGGCAACCGTTACGAATCTGGTTGGTACTACCGTTGAGGTGCGTGATAGCGAAGCGAGGCACGGGTACAGATATACTCTTTTGTACATCGAAGTCATTTGATAGGCTGGATACCTACCACAAAGCTTCTATGGGTGTCTTTGAGATGGTACTCAGCCTTCTTGGAGGGCAACCCGTCCTCTGAGGAGGATAACCAATTACGAATCAGCTTACTCACCGGTTCTGTGACCGGTTCCATGGGCTGACCCCGCGCACAAAGCTATCCTCTTCAACATGCACTTGCCTGATAACATCGCCATGCTAGATATCTTAAGATTTTATGCATTTCTCACAAGTTAGGTTATGTTTGCAGTAACGTAACCCTCGCACTTCGCCCGTACTTGTAGTCCAGCCACGCCAAGGACCGTTACGTTCGTCACGAGCTTCCAGCTTCAGCTGCTACCAGACAAAGTGTTAGATATCTGGAGATTGGATTGAACTTCCGGTAGTCGTAGAGTATTCCATAATCTTCATCTGCAATTAGGTACAATCATGGGCCAGTCTTGGAGTAGTCGAACAGCGGAATACCCGACTTATGAGCGACGTAGAAGGAAAAGTGCTTCCAAATCGGAACGAAACAAAGGGAATACCCGAACCGATGCAGGTAACATTCATCAAGTTCGTACGAATTCCCACTTACGGCGCCGCGATGGCCAGGCTATTTCGAACCGCACCACTCCTAGATCACACCAAAGCGATCACAGGCAGACTCCTCTACGTTTACCTCATCATCTTCATGCCAAGTCTGCAGCAAGAACAACGAAAGAAGGATCACTAGTGGCGGACAGGAATCGAAAACCTAAAGAGGCCCCGAAAAAGCCAGAGTCCGACGGTATTAAGAGCAATAGAACTCAAAAAAGGGATACGAAGCACAACTCTGTCAGTCGAAAAGACAGCCACCAAGCTCACCGCGAAATGTATCGATCCGAGGATAAGCATAAGAGAGAGTGTATGGTTTGTACCGATACGCTCTCTTTGCATCATTTTCACGATCGGCCTCCGACTAGGGATTGTCAGCACGGGGCCGATGTATGCCGGAAATGTCTTCGTACATGGATTAAATCGGAATTCAGTACCAAGATGTGGGACGACATCAAATGTCCCAGCTGCTTAATCTCAATGAAAAGCGCGGATATGCGAGATTTTGCCCCGAAGGAGATATTCAAACGGTACCGAGACCCCTTCTCCATCCACAACCTACCCCCTTCGATGCACTGACAAGACCCCCAGCTACGTGGAACTTTACAACCGAACAAGGAAGGAAGCACAGCCGGGCTTCAGATGGTGCAACCTCAAGGGCTGTAAATCCGGCCAAGTGCATTTTCCTCAAACCCCCAAATTTCGGTGCGACGGCTGCGAAAGGACTTCCTGCGTTGTCCACAATATGAAATGGCACAAAGGCGAAACATGCAGGGAATACGACTACAGAACCAACGCTAATATTAAAGCTGAGGAGGAAGAAGCTAGTAAGAAGTTGTTGGCGGCGACGACAAAACAATGTCCTGGGTGTAAGAGACCGATTGAGAAGAACATGGGATGTGATCATATGGAATGTGAGTCAACCTTGCTTCTGGAAGAGAGGAGGGTAGAAGGGATTGGAAAACGAGACTAACATTTATTTGAATCGTAGGTACGAAATGCCGTCTTCATTTTTGTTGGGCGTGTTTGCTACCGTATCGTTCCGATGTTTCTCGACGGGCAAGGGATGCGGGTGGAGGAAAGTGTTGTGAATGTTATATACAACGTGCTTGATTTACGTTCCATAAGCTGAGAGGATCATCCTATAAGACGTTTAATGGAAATGAGCGACTATCAGACTGCAACGACATCAAGGCCGGAAATACGTAAAGCTCGCCGCTAGCATAATTGTCAAGAACACATACTTCGCCCAATCGACGTTCTTCTCCTTCTCCTTCTCCTTCTCCCTCTCTTCATTCAGACGCCATCCCTCGGCGCTCTCATTGATTGTCCTCGTCGGCGCATAATCCACTTTCGGAGCCTTAGCCAACGTCCTTGCAGTAGCTTTCCTCTGTAAGGGTACGATATACGGCGCCAGATACCCGACAAAAAAGCGACCAAGATAGGTTTGGTAGCTATTCATACGTGTCACCTGACCACTCGCATGGACAAAAGCGCTCGCTCGCTCGTGGCGGCCAGCTTGATATTCGGCGAAGAGGGAAGTAAGCTCGTTATCCGTGATCTGTCGAGTGGGCGTGGAGCCAAACTCGCGGTGGAGGATATTGCAGAGATAGACTGCAGATTCTATGCCTATATTGGCACCCATACCGATGTCTGCGGTCATCTTTTGTTGGGTCAGGTAAGAGTCTGCTAGCGGGGACAAAGGGAATTTGTACCTTGTGAACTGAGTCGCCTACGAGAACTATACGCCCAGCATACCATTTGCCTAGGACACCTTCTTCAACAGTGAGAAGACCGTTCCTAATGTTTGTTCCCCACAAGTCTCCTACTTTGATCTTCTCCGTGATAGGATGGTCGGCAAAGTTCTTCGCTACTGCCTCGATGTCTGCTTCTGTAGCCTTGTCTCTCTTCTCTGGCAGATGGGCCTCATCTTTGAAGGTGATACCCCAATATACTTTCCCATGCTGAGTAAAAACCATTTTCGTGTTGTCTTGACCGAGAACGACATGTGTATCTGCAGGTCCAAGATTGAACGAGTCTTTCACTGTGCTGACACCGAAGATACCTCTGAACTCGCTGAATCTCATGACTTCTTTTTCATTTTCAGGTATTGTTCCTGGTTCAAATTCTGAGGCATAGTCCCACATGAGCTGTCGCACAAGGCTATGCACACCGTCTGCTCCGATGACCATGTCGCCTACTTCCACAGAGCCATCCGCCAAATGGATACAAACACCAGTCTCAGTATGCTCAATCCTTTCAAGCCGCCGGTTAGTGTGAATGTACGACTTGTCTGGTAGCCCCTCGTATAGATGTGATACCAGAGCCTGGCGATCAAACAAGATACTCGGTACTTGGAAGCTTTTGTGGGTCAGTATTCGTCCTTTATCTTGGTTTTCAGGTAATGCGACAACACGAGATCAACCTACAGTTTGCTCATATACTGTTGAACAGGATCGTACCGGCTCACACTTCCGTCTGGCCATCTTATATATTCTTTGCCTACAGGCGTGATGGTCCTAGCGATCTTGTCGAGAATGCCGAACTGGTCAAAGATGCGTGCGACCGGGGGCCAGATAATCAGTGCTGCACCTCTTACTGAAACGATCTTATCATGCTTTTCAAGAACGACATGGTCAATGTTGGCTAGTTGTAAGGCATGGGAGAGCGATAAACCGACGATGCCGGCCCCGACGATGATGACTCTGAACGGTTTCGAAGTGGTTGAGTCTGGCTGAGCCATAGTACAATCAGATCCAGGTATTCGCTGTCGGTACGTTGCAGGTGTTTAGTTGTGATCTGGAAAAGCTTATTGTCGTGAGGATAAAACAGCGATGCTAGACACATGGAGGAACGTCACTGCATATATGCACCTTCGAAAAGACTAGTACCTATTCGTAAAATACTTCCTATTGTTCTGTGAGCCAAGCTTGGCGGACGTGTGCCGCCAGATCGACAGTTTGGTTTGCTACGCCTCATTAGCCAAGCATGAACTGCTGTTGGTTCAGTGTTCTCCAGACCCAATGCTAACTCCTCTGTATGGCTACTCTCGTTGCTAGTGCTGATGCTTCGTATCTGAGGATCGCAAGACTGCTCAAGACGCGGCATTCGATCATGTGATACCATCCCGAACACTTCCAAGGGCGCCGCCATATCTGGACTCCGTAGATGCTGACATCAGTGTCTGGCGCATGACAATAGAACAATGTCAGGATCATCTAGTTAGCAATAACAAGCTTATTGTCACCTCGAGGTATGCGCATCAAGTGTAGTGTTCGGGAAACGTCTTTTGCGAAAGATGTACGCCGCCTTCATAGCTGACCACAGTGAAAGAATGATTGCTACACGGCCTGTAACAATGATTGCAAGTGTGAGACACCCTGTTGCCAGAATACATAACCGCGCTTCGCCAACCGCTGTGAGGTAAACCTAGTAATCACTGCGAAGCTTGCCGTGGACATGGTCGTTGGAGAGTGTGCCGTCTATGCTAGCACCCAAGTTGCCGAGCAAGGCCGTACTGACTGTGTCCATGCAGGAACCATTTCGCTTGTGACAGCGGAATCTGGGGTAATGGATCGGCAGCCCTGGTCTGACAAAAGATGTCGTGTTGGCTCAAGTTTCCGGAGATGCACGACTCACGACAAGAATTTGATTGTAGAGCAAAGCTTCGGTAATGGTGAAAACATGTGCCAGTGTGGTATGCAAGAATGAGCTGGGCAAAAACGCAGGGTGATTGCCCGGAACGTAGACAGCTCTGACGGCGCGTGGGAGGAATACCCGAGCGATGATGAAAATGGCAGTCAGGATAGTCGTTGGGAGACCGCAGACACAGCTGAGTTGCCGAAGATGGGCTTGGTAATTAGCGATCGGCTCTGCAACAAGACAGTAGGGTGCAGCCTGGTGTGAACGGGAACTGCGAACTAGCTCCAGCCCACATGGTGCTTGGCGCACTAACCGGTTTGGTCGACCCCGGCTTGCACCTCCAAGCAGGCGCATCACGGTATCGCGCCCGTCTCGCAGCCAACGCCCCTCCGCACATCGCCTACCGCTGGCCCCCGAATCGATGAACACGGTGCATTCTGGCTGCCGGGTGAATACGCGCTTGCCGTAGCTTTCACGACACAGCACCGGCGCCGGCGCGTGATTTCGCGATTCCCAACCTCACCCTTGCGGGCCTCTAGACACATTCGCTCTGTCTACATGGCGCCTGTTCCCGACACACCACTACCACGCGTGAGAAGCACACGACCGCCCCGGCGACACATATCTGACTCAGCGCCAGCCAGCAAGCGGCGCAAGTACATTCCAGGCGGACCAGGAGGCGGGGGAAGATACGTGGATGACGCTGGGCTAGAGACACCTGTAGGAGGAACTGGTCCCGGAGGATACGCGTACACTGGTCCCCGTGGCCGCGTAGGACGCATCAACGCCGAACGGCAAGGCCTGCCTCTATCAGCACCCTCCCCTTCATACACCCGACCCCGACGCGAAAGGCCGCCAGCTGGACCGCGTTCCAGTTCGGCCGCCGCAGTCGCCGCCGCAGTGGCTCAAAACGATGGATACAAGCCGCGCGAGGAGCGGAGCTGGGATGAATTTCATCCGGACCTGGACATAGACGTTGAGTTCCCTGTCTACAGCGCGGACCAGATCGATGGCATCAGCCCTCAGGACAGCGCCCCAGGAACTCCGCTGAACGGTTCATCTACCGGCCAGTATGCCGTCGACAGTGGTATCTCGGCCATGCTTGACGGTCTGCGGGCGCAACAAGCAGAGAATGTTGCGCAAGAGCAAGAGGATGCCAGCTTAGCCGTCAACGGCTCAGGCGCTTTTGTCACACCGAAGCGACGTCCAGGCCGACCTCCTCGCAATAGAGATTCCATGCTGGCTGGCCTTGGATCGCCGCCTCGACCACGAGTCAACCCCCTTCCGACCATGAACCCAAGGGAGAAGCTTAATCTGCCAAAGCCATCAGTGCGCCAAGTCGATCCGTTCAAAGAACATGAAGAAAGCGAGGGAGTCAAGGTCAACTATGTCGACAAGACTATGGCGAATATTGGATACCAGGAAAGCGAGATCTTTACAAGGCCGTCGGAGAACAGCCTGATCAGGCTACCCGAGGGTTCTATCGAAGAGGATCTGGATTTGACTCTCCAGACAGAAGCTGAAGGAACTGCCGGTGCTGTTGCCGTCGGCCGTGTCGAGTATGATATGGACGAGCAAGACGATCGGTGGCTGGAAGCACTCAATATACAACGCAAGGAAGAAGGGGTTGAAGGCATCAAACCTGCAATATTCGAAGTAACCATCACACAGATCGAGAAAGAGTGGCATGCGTTGGAGAAGCGTAAGTCTAGCCCGATGCGTTGCCATGTTGGACACAACAGCTGACATGTGAAAGGCATACCCAAACCAAACCCCAAACCACCTCAGACGCATCGACCACGCTCCAGTAGCGCAGCCGCAGTTAACGGAGAGCCTGCTGGCCAAGGCGAAGAGCAGGACACAAAGTGCGCCATCTGTGACGATGGCGACTGCGAAAATACCAATGCAATAGTGTTTTGCGATGGTTGTGACCTGGCAGTCCACCAAGAGTGCTATGGAGTGCCTTTCATACCAGAAGGACAATGGCTGTGCAGACGATGTCAATTGGTGGGGCGCGGCACCCCTGTCAGCGAGCTTCCGGTATGTCCTGGCCCTGTCTGCTTTATTCGATGCATGCTGACAGTCACAGGGTTGCATATTCTGTCCAAATATAGACGGCGCGTTCAAGCAAACCACTGCGATGAAGTGGGCACATCTGCTCTGCGCCATGTGGATACCGGAGGTATCACTGGGCAATGCGACGTTCCAAGAACCAGTACAGGATGTTGAAAAGGTTCCCAAAACTAGGTGGAAGCTGGTAAGAATTGACATGCCCCACCGCACGAACAGCTCACTAACTACCAGACAGTCTTGCTACATATGCAAACAGAAGATGGGAGCATGCATCCAATGCGGCCACAAGTCATGTTTCGAGGCCTTTCATGTCACATGTGCACGAAGGGCCAGGCTATGCTTGCGCATGAAGTCCTCACATTCTTCAAACCCACAAGATACGACCGTACTCAAAGCCTACTGCGATCGTCATACTCCATCAGATTGGAAGCGCGAGTATGATGTTGAGAGTGCAATCGCAGATGCCAAAGCTTTCTATCGCCACACTATGCGTCATGTTCGATGGCCAGACAGCCAAGCCTATGCCCTCTCCATCGGCTCCTCACACGCAATGCCTTCTATCGAAGGGCCGGAAGACGATACCCCCGGATCCAACAAGCGGAAGCGCGGGCAATCTACCAAGTCCTGGAGACTTCCGTCAGGAGCACCCGTTGTTCCCCAAGCTGTCTACCACAACGTTGAGAACACGCTGATCAAATTCAATGTGCGTAAGCGCAAAGAGTTTGTGCAAGAGGCCTGCAAGTACTGGACGCTCAAGCGTGAGGCTCGACGCGGTGCTGCTCTTCTAAAGCGCCTTCAGCTGCAAATGGAAGCCTTCTCGTCCATGGAGATTACTCGCCGTAATTTTGCGGGCATGGGCGCAGCTGGCAGGCCCCGACTACAGCGACGCATTGAGTTTGCAGAACGCCTCGAGGATGACATGGAGCAGATCCGTGTTTTATGCGAGATGGTCAAACAGCGAGAAGCCGAGAAGCTCAAGGACGTCCTGATACTGCAGCAGATCGTCGATTGCATATACTTCCCGATCCCTCAACTCCTTCAGCCTATTCTGGTGCGAGCGCAAGCGTAAGTAGCACGTTGCTGGCTTTAGATTTTCACTAACCTTTCAATAGGCTCGATAGTAGAGGGTATTTTACTGAAGGATTTAACAATCTTCAGACAAAACTCGACGAGAAATACTACACGTCAGTGCAGACGTTCAATGACGATGTAGCCGCGGTGTTGAGCGCAGAGCTCGGGTTCGCCGCGGTCACAAACGTTGGCGAGGCCGAAGAACAACTGAACAAGGTCTCGCATAGCAGTTTGACCTCTGAGCAGAAGGAAATGAAGAAGATCGTAAAACGGATTACCAAAGTTCTGCAACCTTACTTTGAGGATGCGCTTAGGAAGGAGTCTGAGCTAGCTGGTCGTCCTTACGAGAAGTTGCCCGATCTGGAGACGCTCCTCAATGAAAAGCTACAAAGCAGACCTAGCATTCTTTCACAGGCTGAGACTGTTCGACAAACGACGGAAACGGACCCGACGGCTGTTGAGCAAGCTCAAGAAGAGGCTGTTGATGGGGAAGAAGCTGCTGTGCTGAACCAAAAACCCGAGGAGATGCAGATGGCGCCCACACCTGACGAAAACGCTGCAGATGCACATCATGCGCATGATGAGGCGGCGGACGAGGCAGCCATTGCTATTCAACTCGGACAGGATGCTCTTCACGTATCTAGCAACCAGCCTCAGAGTGCAGTAACAGGATCTCATGCCGAGACCAATGGCCGTCCCGAGCCTCTGACGCCTCCAAGGTCTGAGAAGAACCTATTAAACCCCCTCGGCAATGGCGGTGTCCCCTGGTATTTTGAGACTTTCGACGTCCACGGTACTACTGTTTATGAGGAACGGTACACTGGCCGAGAGGTACTCCGAGACATGAGCGAGGAGCTTAGCGAGCTCGATGATGACGAACTAGACGGTCTGGCTGACTCGGATCCTATTCGGCCTACTGACACACCCGACTCCAATGTGGCGGCGATCAAAAAAGCAGTTGCACGTAAGAGGCAGAAGAGGTCGAGAGGATGGTAGACGATGGGTCTAGTTTTGCTTTTCACTATTTTCTTTGGCATGCACTCCTGGAGGCATGTCTTGTATTATCATTGGCATTTGTAACATACCTACCTTACTGGGTAGACGAGGTGCAACTGGCGCATGGTGTTCACTTACAGGGCTGCAACAGATACCGCATTCGATGGGTTGTTTCAGCAGAGCATCTTAGTAGGAGTAATTGGGTGAAGCCAGTGGCAAGGCGTCTGACGGGGTTCGGTTAACGAAGCGCCGATTGCGATAGGCTTGAATATGAACATAGCTGGCTACAACACGCACCACTGGTAGCGTCTTGATAAGTGATGCGGTGTGTTGTGAAAGTCTTGGACAGGTAAAATAGAGCCTTGTTCTGTGAGAGACGGCGGTTCACTAGTGATGTTGACGCACGTTGATGGGCAAGACAAGGCGGCCAGGGCGCTGGACGTTTACCCCTAGCAGTTGCCTCACTTCGGGCGAGCAGTTGCCTCACTTCGGGCGAGCAGTTGCCTCCAGGACAGCTCCTGTGTCAGTACCAGGTAGTCGCCTACAAATAGCATCTGGCTCGCCTGGCACCTCCACTCTCTCATCACATTTCCCGCTTTTTACTCCACTCACTTGCAGCGCTGCTGGCCATTAGCGCGACGCTTACTAAGTAGAGACGCGGCTACTGTCGATCAGTCCTGCCAAAAAATCGCCCAACTCGAAGCTTCAGCAAACACCTTTCCTCAACCAACCAACTATCAACTCACCCGACCCACCACAACATCATCACCATGGAGTACGAAAACGAACAGCGCGGCTACGATGGTTTGTCTTTCGCCTTGTGTGATGATCGCGCGAATACTGACTGGATTGCAGACGAGCCTCGCGGCTATGAGCGCGATCGTAGCAGGTCTCCGCGTGGTGACCGTCGCGACGATGGCGCGCGTGCCCGCAGTGCCTCACCTGGCGGTCGCGACAGCCGGTATGTATCTGCTTGCTCGCCTTGATGGAACTGTTGACTAACGCTTGCTCAGTGGCCCGCCGCCAGAGCGTAGGGATGATGACGATGAGAGCCGTAACTCTGGCTCCAACCTCTTCGTCACTGGAATTCATCCTACTCTTAGCGAAGAAGAGGTCACCCGTCTCTTCGAGAAGTACGGCGAGGTAGAGCAGTGTAACATCATGCGCGATCCTCACACTAAGGAGTCTCGTGGTTTTGGCTTCGTCAAGATGGTCACCTCTGAGCAGGCTGACGCAGCGAAGGAGGGTCTTCAAGGAGAGGTCCATCAGGGCCGCACACTCAGCATTGAGAAGGCCCGCCGTGCGCGTCCCCGTACTCCCACTCCGGGCAAGTACTACGGACCGCCCAAGCGTGGTAAGTCTGATTACTGTCTGCACTTTACATGCCGTGCTAATAACAACTCAGAGTTTGGCGGGCGTGGCCGAGGCGGCCCTCGCTACAACGATCGATACACTGATGACCGCCGCGGCGGATACGGTCGACGCGATGACTATGGTTCCCGTAGCTCAAGATACGATGATCGCGGCTACGGAGGTGGCGGCCGCCGCGATGACTACGGTCCTCGTGGTGTCGATCGCTATGCCTCTGATCGCAGCTACGGTGGCAGGGATGGCGGTCGCGACGGCGGACGCGATGATCGTCGGGGTGGTGGAGGTGGCTACTACGACAGGCCCCCACCCCCAGCTGCTGGCGCCTACGATGCACCTCCTCCGCGTGAGGCGTACGGCGGAGGACGCTCGTACGAGGGTGACTACGATCGCTCATACCGCTAGCTCTCCGCTAACCCAGGCAGAACCCAAGCGGTACTAAGTTAGGGTTCGTATGGCTTCCTCGGTTTGGCGCCTCTCTCTCAGCACTTCATTCCTGTAATCCTATGGCTACTTCACTGGGTTCAGTTTAATACGGCTTTCACACGCATACAAAGGAAATGTGGTCGACAAAAGTTCTTCGATATGGTTCGCAGCAGCGCAAGGTAGGATCACACCATGGTCTGCCGTCTTGCAGCGCGACATCGTCTTAGCCTTCGTCGGCTCGGTATTTTCCTTGGAGAAACGGTTCAGCACTTCGGTAAATGCTTTCAGGGCAACGTCTATAGCCCTTGGGAGCACCAGTCATCTTGATCGACACCAAATTGTACTTCTATCTACTGCCTCACGATGCAACCTGGACGTCCAGTAACCAGTCCACACCACCTTCCGCATGACCAGCACTGTCTAAATACTCTTACTATCATCCACCATGACCGCAATCCATGTCAACGCAGCCCCCGACCCAGTAACATGAAGGGCCTGCATTCACCGACCCCCGACTACTGCAGCAATCTCGCAATGTAATTTCGCCCAACTACGTAAGGAACATTTGTCGAGAAGCAGAGACAAAGCAGCTTGCACGAGTTCCAAAAGTCACTCCATGCCAGAGCCCGTGATTGTTGCCTGCCGACGAGTCGCGATTGCTCTATGCAAACGGACAAGCGGTGCATGCATGTCTGGGCTCTTAGAGTCAGGTACAACCGAAGGTGCGTGCCCTCCAATTTCGTTTGTGTCACTTCCTTTTTCGTCATACGTGCCTTCCCCATGATGACACTCACCGCCGGAGTGTAGACTCCACACAAAAAGGTAAAAACAAGCGACATGTTCTATTACCGTTTGAGGACGTAGAGCAGAATTTTCAATGACCAACTATATTCTGGTCGTGCTAGGACGCGCACAGATTGTGTCGTTGCGTAACAGCTCGGCTCCAGTATTGCGTCCAAGTCCTTGCGACCAAGGAGGCTCAGCTGCCTTTGTCGCACGTAGACTGGGGCTGCGACTATCATCCCTGGGCCACCACTGCTGGTGTTGGAGCGTCCATAACCATTGATCAAACAACTAACCATGAGCCTGACAAGCTGGTAATGCGCCTGAGCGCCTTTAGTTCCTGTAGTTTTTGCACGACCATTTAGTTCACACATAGTCTCGAATGCAAAATTGATTCACAGAACGCTTGTCTTCAGTGCGAACGCGAAATGCTGTCGTAACACTTGTACCTGGCTAAACATTTAAGCTGTTCTTGGATGATGCACGGGAACCGCGGAGTCGTGGGGTGCACCGAATGGAAGGCTGATGCAGGGCTATAGGCAGGGTTAGAGGGAGCTGTTAGCGGCCCGTCTGTGGCATCTAGCACGACCAAACCTCAGCCCAAGTCAATCATCACCACCGGTGCGGCGCCCGCCGAGGGGCCGCAAGGTGCAACACCTGTGTCTTGTGTGTCATGTTCTGTGTGGCTAGCCACCTTTTCACAGTGTATATGTCATCTCTGGGTAGTGACTCCATCTTTGTCTTTCACATGCGCTGCGCGATCTCCATCGTCGTTCGTCACTGCGGAGCTTTCCCTGAACCCCAGTTGCCGCGCGGCGACTCCACCGTGGGTTGACAAGTCCGACACCTCAAATATGGCCGGCTGACAGTGCAACAGTATAAGACACGCCAGATCTCAAACTGATCTTGGCGATCTACGCCCTTCGCTCCCTGCCAGTCGCTCGCTCCCACCTTTTTCACCAGCATGACCCGTCGAAACGTCATTCCTGTCCTCGCGCTAATCCTCACGCTATTCGTAATCGCATTCTTGTACTCAGGCATTGACACCAGTCAAGCATGGCGGGGCATACCACAACATGTTGGTTTGGGAGAGCACTTTGGGACTGATGAGCAGCCACCCTCCAGTACCGGCGGCGCCGAGCCGTCCAAAGACACGATCCAAGACCCAGACTATGCGAACTGGAACCCGAGACCCGTGTTCAAGCCAGGCTCGCCAATGCCGCCAGAGCACAACTTTACCTCGACACTGATAATTGCGAAGACGAAGCATGAGAATGTCAATTGGATACTGGAGAAGATGCCAGAGCAGCAGACAGCCGTCTATGTCGCCGATGATCCTTCCGCGCCGCTGCATCCGCCCAAGAACAAGGGACACGAAGTCATGGTGTATCTTTCGTGGATCATCGACAATTACGACAATCTCCCCGACGTCGCTATCTTTATGCACGCCCATCAATTGTCCTGGCACAACGACGAAATTCTGGGCAACGATGCGCATCTCCTCATAACCCGACTGAATCGACACCGCGTTTGGAGGGAAGGCTTCGTGAACATGAGATGCAGTTGGCATCCTGGCTGTCCCGATTGGATGCACCCTGGAAACACCGAACAGGATGCTCAGAAGCAGGAAGAGGTGCTCCTAGCGAAATCGTGGAGCGAGCTTTTCCCTCTCGACGAAGTACCTACCGTCCTTGCGCAACCCTGCTGTGCGCAGTTTGCCCTCTCGCGGGAACGTATACAAGCGAAGCCGTACGCGCAATACGTCTGGTATAGAGATTGGCTATTCAACACGCGACTCCCCGATCGCCTGAGCGGACGAATCTGGGAGTACGTGTGGCAGTTTGTCTTCACAGGTCAGAACATATTTTGCCCCAAAGAACACATATGTTTCTGCGACCAGTATGGATCTTGTTTTGGCGGCGAAGAAGCATACGAAAATTTCATGGCGCTCAAGAACGAACTCAGCGATCGGGAGAGGGATCTCAGGCAGTGGGAGGAGAAACGGAAGGAGATAGAAGAGGCACAGAAGAACGGCGACCAGGCAAAGTTGCAGGAGTTGACAATCCCCGAGCCAGGGAAAGATGACGAGTTCAGAAGAGAGATTGATCGGTTGAGGCCAATTGTGGACAGCCTAAAACACGATGCAGAAATTCGGGGACGAGACCCACACAATCGAGCGTTGGAAGCTGGCAGGGAGTGGCATGAAGGCGACGGTTTTTAGCTTTTTCTTTCTTTGTATAGATACCCTGGGTATTTTGCAGGCGTATCTGGGTGTGATGGCATCTGGCGTTAAGTGTCTATGGCCTTTGGGGCTTTTGCTGGCATGCTATCTGGGTCTGACACACCGCTTCGTACTTGAAGACGGAGGAAACGAATGATACAAAATATCGCTTTACTTGCAACATGGTCTTTTCCCTGTTTTCATGTTGATCATCGACGCGTGTTGAGAGGAGATGGCTTATCTAATCGTCGCTACGTCCCGGTCACATGCGCGCGTGTCAATTGTGCAAACAAGACAAACCCTTCTATCGCGACGTCTTTGGCCCGCTGGTCGGCCCCGCTTGTCGTTCGTACACGACAGCAATCAGGTGTGTCTGCTGATCTGCTTCCCTACATTTCGCATCAAACCAAACCACGATCCCAATCTCCGCACCTCTACGCCAGATTACGTCGCCGAGATGGGTCAAACTGCAATCCGCCCTCTTCTCCAGTCGGGCCAAACTATACTCTGCTCTCTCTATCGAATCGCAAGTGTTGTTCTACTGCGCCCAAACCAAACCATGTACATGCTTCGGTGTCAAACCAAACCTCGTGGGAGCTTGCATACAAAAGAGATTCGGTGTCGCGTCCGATTACCAGACGCATCGAGTCGGATTCACTCGTAGCACAACTTGCATGACCTCAGTTGCTCTCTTGTTCTCATACATTGACCCAAAGACTTACCATTTGTGTATTGACAGCTCATTTATCCGACCGTTCCCAGTCCTGTTTGGCTCCCACCGTCTGATCCGTCTGATCTCGGGGGATACGAACCACGATGAAGGCAAACGTTGACGCGCCATACTACCATATGCGCTCCGGCCAGTTCGTCACGACGTCCAACAGCGCAAACGCTGCGCCGCCCCGATTCGTGTCCGACGAGGATGAATATAACTTGTCCGGTCCCGCTGCTGTCGCATCGCCGCTCGAACATCAACTCAATCCACACCTGTACTCCGAACCCACTGCTCGTCAGACGTCAGACGAACACATACTGGAGGAAAACCATAACCTTGTCGAGCTTCTGGAGGCTGCGACCGCCGCGGGTCAGGTAGCGTATACTATGGACACTGGACATGCTGTGACAGGGACTCTTACATCACGCGACAGAAGTAGGAGAAAGAGAGGTGCCAGTACCCCAACTGAAGATACTTCGCACCAAGCTGATGGGCTCGTTCACCTGAAGCGACGTAGAACTGGTGGACCTACTGATCCTCAACTTCAGGACCATGGCCAAGATATACATGGCGACTGTGTTGGTGAAACTGTACCGCCTTCCAGCGAGTCTCTATTGAACGATGCTCGTGCCGCAGGCGTACACTCCGCCGCTGCCCTCTTCCGTCGTTCCTCTGAAAGAACATCCCGGAAGTACACACGTCCTCCAATGTCAAAGCTATTCATGTCCCTCCAGCTCAGCCCAGAAAATTTTCTTCAATTGCAGGCTTTAGCAAAAGTCTACATGCTCGACACATCGCATCCGGAACGGCAGAATTGCGTAGGTAACCGTGGTAAAGGTGATACCGACATGGTCAAGTTACGGCTGTTCAATTGTGTTCGCGACTTCTTAAACGACGGAGTCGGCGAACAGTTCTTTGGCGAAGACGTTGAGAAGCCAGGCGAGAAGGACGCAATCGAAGCTGCCCGTGCACTAGGGGAGGACAAGACCCCTGATCCGGCTGAGAGATTGACATGGCCAAGAGATGGCAACAAGATTATCAGTCTCGTTACCCCGTTAATGCGACGCATGGTCACCAACGAGCGGCAGCGACAGTACGCGATCGAAACCAGGAAGGGTGGCACAAAGAAAAAAGACAAAGAAGGTAGTGTCGAAGCTGTGACTCAGCAAGGAGAGGACGATACAGGGCATGGGGTCGAGCAGCAACCGCGAGCAGTCTTCGATCGTAACCTGGTTCATCATCCGCATTCGTCACGGTCGATTGTCTCGTCGACCCCGATTCCGACGACAACTATTCAGGACTTTCCTCCAAAACCGGAAGCAACCTTAGATACTAGAGAAAGTGTGGACTCTATACAATCAAGTACAAAGGTAACGTTTGTTCGTACATCTTATCGGAATGATTGACACTGCTAACCCGCCGACCAGTTGCCCACAAACAGTCCTACAGAACCAAATCTCTCTCATATCAACATCTTCCTTGTGCTCCCCTCGTCGGGAAGTAGACCGGGTAACAAGCTCGACGAGAAGCGCATCACAGCTGAAGCACAAGCACACTTGGCGTGGTATGACTACAACGACTTCATGAGAGAGACAGTCATTCTGCTCAAAGCAGCCAAACACAAGTACCCTGAATTAAAGACGGAAAATGTATTTCAGGACGTTGAGCCTGGGACAGACAATCTTCGCGGACTTGCTGCTGCTGCCAACGCGCTACAGACGGAGCATGCTCAGCATGAAGCACTTCCATCGACTGCTTGTCTCTCTCAGTCTTCGTCAGCAGACGGCCCCCACTCTGTTCTTCCGAACCCGACTTCGACTCTCAACAATTACCCCATCTTCCCAAACGACAGCCATCAGGAAATCAGGTCTCTTCCCCGCTACACCATCAAGTCTATTGGTCCTCAGGGATGGCGCGATGTTCGCAACGCCGATGACTGGTATAGCGTTCTGAGGGAGAAGGCTTTCGCTGTGTGGGCTGATGGTGTGTGTAATGTGCTTGTCGAACTCGTCGACTTTGCTGGCGTGGCGGGATAAGTTTGAGCATGATATTGATGTCAGGAAATGGAGAGAATACGGGGCAAGTGTTGCCAGCCTAAGTGGCATCTGAAGTGCATACATGCATGACGATGGCACAGGTCTTAAAGCGTAGCGCGAAAATTAATGTTCATCTCATCCGATTCTCATACCAGTAACCCTGTATCATGCTGGAAATAATTCTCATCCCTTTACTCACCGTTCCCGTTTCAATCGCCACTGTTATACGCAAGGGCTCGACCATCAGGTGTACCTGAGACCTGTAGTATTGTTGTCGGAGGTAAGTGTGAGTAGCTCACAACAACTGCAATGTAAACACAACAGGCATCGCTGCTCTACGTGTGGGCATTCCGTCTCATGTCGCTTCGTGCTGGAGGCTGCGATAAAGGTGTGTATCGGGTACCGGGAGCGATGAAGAGGCCGTGATAGGCAGGCGCGGGTGCCAAGCCGTCGATTGTAGCGAACGTCGTTCGCCCTTAACCCCTCCATGTCAGGCACCCGATAAGCTTTCGGGAAGCACGCCTAACGGTCGCGGTTACGTCAAGCGTCCCACCTCTTCACTTTAGTGTGGAGACGACTCAAGGTTGATCGTTCGATCGTGGTCTAGATGGCTTCATGAGTTTTGTGCTTACCTAGGTACGCTTTCACTATCGACACGCTCTGTTGCCAATCGCGGAGCTTGGGCCTACCTGACAATACTGGACTTCCAAGGGCACTGGTGCTACTCAAAGTTAGAACACTTATGAAGACGCCTTTCACCTACGTTCCCCCTCTTCCCCTTGTCACTTCCGCCCGCTGATGGCTTTCCAGAAGTCCGACGCTGCACTTTGGCCCCATGCGAGCCTGCCATTCCTCAGAACGAAGTCTCGCAGGTCGCACTATATGAAATAACCGTGTATAGACAGCCAATACCCAGCATCCTTTCGCACAGACTTCGACTGTTTTAACAGCTTCGCTATTATGTCACCGATCTCTACCAGGCGTCCCAAGCTTTTCGATTCTTGTTTCCTCTCGCTCAGTTGAAGCTCCCACCACACTAGGCTGATCGACGTCATACAATCTTTCTCAAGGCGTCCATAACACTGAGATGGGCGTTTTATTTGCCGCATAGTACCTGTGCGACTTCACTTTGCATTGACATGTCACGCGCGAATCTGGATGGGAGTCGATTAGCGCGTCTTTGGTCGACACTCAGAGATACCTAGGTAGCGAATACCTAATAGCGTGGCGTCGCTACATCAACTCTCTATAGGTACACGCATTGCGCTCACATGCACTGATCCTTACTCTCATCTGTCATGTAGCGCTGTTTGATGGCCTCTTTCAATGATGGCGATAGAAAGAATCCCTGTGTCCACTGCAAGCGAGAAGTGCCGTGCTTCTCGGAGGTTTACGCGGGAAGCAAGTGCCGAAATCTGGACTTAATTGCGTTGGTGTCGCACTGTGACTATCTTTCGAACATTAACGCGGGGAAATTTAACGATTATGGCTGTTATTGGTTCCATACAGAGACGATTAATCAATGGGTAAAGCGTCTCGATATCACGGACCATCAACACCATGTAGCAAGGATGGTATGCCTACACCAAGATTTGGAGAGAGTGATGATCCTGCAGCTTAAGATGACAACTCGTCCTTCACCTATTCTGCAGTAGGTACGCCCTCACTGAGCCAAGCAAAAACATAGGAAGATGAAGTGGTACCAGATCGCCACTTTCGCCGTACCCGCGCAGGCCGCACTACGCTTCGGATGCTCGACATTGAGCATTCAGCGGCTTGATCCGCTCGTTGAGCCAGGCAAACTTCCTTCCGCTCACGTTCACCAAATCGTTGGAGGCAATGCATTCAACGCGACTATGCAGGAAGATCCATCTACCATAGCTACCTGCACTACATGCACATTCTCCGAAGACTTCAGGTATGATAGCCCTCGCAATATCCTGCTGATAGCTTCTAACAGGTGTAGCAACTACTGGACTGCAGCCATGTTCTTTAAGCATACGAACGGCTCCTACAAACGGGTACCCATTATGCAGAACAGTGCTTTGCCCAACGGCATCAACGGTGGCATGAGTGAGTGTCTTTGTATCATCACAAATGAGTTATGCACTGACTCTGTACCTACTACCCTGCAGCTATCTACTATACGCAACAAGATTTCAACAGTAATGGTAATCAGAAGATAACCGCGTTCCCCAAGGTCAGTCATACCTTTCATTCAGCTCATGCACTGCTAATCTTCTCAGGGCTTCCGCATGACCGTGGGATCTCCCACCACCAACACTGTAGAAGACGCGAAGAAGCACCCCGGTCTTCGCTTTGTTTGTCTGCAAGACAAGAACACTCGTTTCCCGGAGTCCCCAGATTTCCCACCCAAGGCCTGCAAAGGCGGCATCATGACTGTGCATCACTTCCCATCGTAAGCAGCCTCCTATGCAAACTGTATGTAGGACAGATACTAACCTGATACGCCAACATCCAGATGCTGGGACGGCAAGAATGTCGACTCTCCCAACCACCAAGATCACATGTACAACACAGCCAAAGAAGCCTTCAGTCCCGCAGGTGCATGCCCATCTTCTCACCCAGTCCGCATGCCACAAGTCGCCTACGAGACGCTGTGGGATACTACGCAGTTCAACAACATGTGGCCCAAGGATGGCTCCAATCCTTTCTTCCTTTCTTACAATGACAACAAAGGCTACGGTACCCACGCTGATTACCTCTTTGGCTGGAAGGACGACAGTTTGCAGAAGGCTATGGACAACAGCTGCATGTTTCAGGCATGTGAGAATGGAAGACCGTTGAAGGTAAGTGATGCAACATGAGCTCTCGAAGTATGGAATGGCTGCTAACAAGTAATCGCAGAGCCAGAATGTTCAAGCGATGAATAAGTGCCAGGTCAAGAGCGCTATCAAGGAGGACCTGGATGGATGTAAGGGCATCGAATCTGTGCGTGTGTGTTGACAATCTGCTAACAATATCCATCAGGGCTCGACCATCTACCGGGTATGGCGATGTAGAGTAGCGACTAGTAGCAGAAGACAGGGCGCTTGTTTTATTCTTGCAATACCAGACTGTACGGTACATTCGCTTTCGGGCTTGCTATACACACATTCAGTCGTTTCGGAATTATTGCCTTCTGTCAGTCATGTTATTTCCTCGGAGATGTGGTCAACGAAGGCGGGACAGGTTGCGTCGCAGCAGTTGCAGTCTAGACTTGATGGTAGGCGATGCCATCGCGTCTCATCAAGCCAAGGATGCTTTTTCTTCTCTCCAGACCTCCGAAACGCCATCTTCAGCCCATGAAGAAGGCATACGTATCATGCAATGCGACTTCATCGTGGTGTGGTATGGTGTACAGTATGCTTACGCACTTGCTCATGCATGCGACCCCGTGCTTGAACCTCGGGATGACTGCGGTTTCACTATCGAGGAGAATTGTTCCGATGCAGCCGCGACCCTTCATCTGTGCTCCGCCATTGCCAGACTGCGGAGGGCCGTGCATGCCACGGAACCCACGTTGCGGCCACGTGGTGAGCATGCATTTTTCATGCAGGCGCTCGGACATTGAATGAAAGGCGCTGTCATGTTGCCGTTTCGGGAGGGTGCATGGAGTGGGGGAGGCGATTGCGCATGTACGAACATGGATGGGGATGGTCTGCAAATTGATGGAGTCTGGGTTGCTCTGGGGTTGCTTCTAACTGCTGGTAGGCATGGTATGGCGAGCAAGCTCGATGGCAGAGCGACTTCTAGATCATCACGACCTATGTTCTTTTTGGCTCTCTCGTTAAAGGTTGAATGCTGTGGTCGGAAATAACTGGAAGTAAAGGGGCGGCTGCTTGTGCCTTGATATTGGCTGCTCATCGTACCGTAGGACGGCAGCATCCTTGGGTACCCAAACGCCACAACAGGTGCTGGCTATCTGGTGCTAGGACTAGCTGCAGTTCCATCAAAGAAGCCAAGAATGCATTAATTAGCGTTCTAGGAAAGTCGGGCTGACGGCGATTGGGACATGCAGTGTTCTCCGCCGCAGTGAGGGCCTCTTTGAGGTACGTCTCATGATAACGCAAGGAGTTGGTCTACGATGGACCGACTGCAGAGCCGACGTCAAGACCAAACCAGGAGCGGCAATGGGCGCGCGCACCAGCGGAGACCAACTGACCTAAGCAACACCGAGCCCTGTAGCGGCCAAGGTGGGTTCCCGCAGAAAAAACGTGGCATAGGCGATGCAAGCGTGGGTGGTGCTAAAGGGGATTGGCCGGCTGTCAATCGCGGCGTGAATGGCTTGTCCTGGAGGCTGACTGCATGCATACAAGTCACTTTATCGAAATGCGAGTGTCGTTACATGCAGCATCCTTACGTGCGAGCGTTTCAGAGCAGTCTGGTGCTGGCTATGTTGCTGCTGCTAAAAGGGTGGCTCTGTGGATGACTACAGCCGCGGGTACATAACCATGCTGTGTTCCGCCGCATGTACACTCGGTGAGATGGTGGATAACGCGCCATCAAGACCGACATAGCACCATCCTTCTGCAAGGCTGACGTTTATCAACCCTACCAAACATTTGTGGCATCCCGTTGCGACTCGCTAACTATCGTTCCCCCTGCGCGTCCATCTTACTACTCACGCAGCCCCTTGCCGATCTGGGCCCTTTGAAACGCGCGACGAAGACAGGCTGAGCACAGGACTCCGACCGACTACACCCGTCTGTTCACCTTTCTCTACAAACGCGGCACAGACACGGGCATCTGTCTGTTCTACTTGCCTTCGCGCCCCCTCTCCTAGAGCCTTGAGTCGCGCATCTACCATAGGCACGACATCGACGTCGCAGAGGCCCGCTACCCCACGCCCACATAGCAACCACCGGACACGCCGTGGCGCGCATTATGACAAACTCTCTAGAGTCGTCGCGGCCCATGCTTGCCAACGTAAGTCATTCTCCCGTATCCACTGCCCGTTTCAGACGTCCCCTGCCTGTGGTCGATGCTCGCCGGGCAGCACCTACATTGCTTGCTCGACCGTACTCCTTTGCGCCTGCCCTTCCGCTTGCACTCACCATATAACCATTCGCCTCCCCGTCCCGTCCCGACACTACAACGCCAGCACCCAATACCACGCCGCGACCATGTCGGAACAAGCACAGTCTAACGAAAAGAAACAACAGTCGGCCGCCAACCGCGCCTCCACCCGCATGTCTACTTACAGCGCCACACCTACTCTCACACCCTCCATCGCACCCTCGCACCTCTCGGCAGCCTCGTCAACCGCCGGCGACCCCAAGTCGCAAGACATCAAGACATGGAATGCCGGATTTGATCGCCTCGAAGACAAGCGCCTGGTCCAGCAACGGTACGCCCTCACCAACGAGAAGACCGACGACATGAGCAAGCTGGCGCTGGGAGCAAAGCTTGACCGCGCACTTGCCCGCCGCATGTCAGGTCAAGACGCCGTCTTCCGGCCAAAGGGCGTCAGCGAGAAGAAGGAGATTGAGACATAAGCCCGAGCAGCGGCACACGACACTTTCATCTTTCGTCGCCTGCCGAGACTCGACCGCTGCTCGCAGCCACGACGGTTATACATGCGGTCTTATTCTCTACTGGCACGAATTTCTGGGTTCATCATGCGAGATATCCTTTGGAGAGCGAGCGAGCACACAAACAGACATACGGGGGGGCCAGGCGGCCTATTGCTACACACCGGTGGCAGTCAAGAACCCAGTCACAGCATCTAGCAGAGCATCACCACGACTCCAGGATGCTTACTCAAGAGTGCTCTATTATCGCTCCTCGGGGCATGACGGCTCGGATTGACACTTCTTACCACTATACCAAGGCGTTGCGTTTCCTACTACTAATTCATTTTTTTCTCCTTTCCGACTGCACTGTTACGGGCTTATCTCTGTGCCCGTCTGACTTTCCGCTTGATTATCGAATCGAATGAATACGAAATTCCTCTCAACGACGATGCACGTGAAAATGGATGTGGGACTTGAACGAACGCATAACGCGCGTCTTCAACTAATCCTCCTGCCATTACGAGTTCTGTGCCACTATCTAGGTTGCGTGCTGGATGCGCCATCAAACGTGTCACGACGGTTCGGCACATGCATGTTTGTTGATCCCTTTGTTTGTTCGGTGCCGATCACTGTCTTTTTTCGCTTCCTCTTAACGTCATTGTGGGTAGGATGGGTAAGGGGCTGCCCGTCCCTTCTTGATCGTCCCTGCTTCCGCCCATTTAGGCCACTACCGCTGTATCGGAGTTGCTTCCGCGTTTGACAGACCTGACAAGCCTTTGACATCCGAGGGACCGTTGGAGCTATGTAATTATTGATCAATAAAGGTAGACTGGCGCTTTGTTCTCTAGTTCATTGAAAACTTCATTGCAACGCGCTTTTGTCCACATTCCAGAAGTCTAAAGTGACATTGGGAGACGTGGTAGATGTGGCATGAACGAGCAAGAGAGACATGGGTAGGATGAATACGATTCATTTATGAGGTTTTGTTGATGAATTCACGTGTGCGTCTCACGTTTTGAAATTATGCGTGCGCCTTGGATTAATGTACTCCACACAGCCTATTGTAGCCGGCTTCCCGGCTCATCTTATGTCTTCTCGGGTTTCATGATTTCAGCCCGCTCTCTCTTTTACAGACACGCATAGAAGCGCGAAAGCTGACAATAGATATATAGACCATCGAAAACATCCTAGACCAGTGGTAATACATTCCGCGAACATCCGGGCCCGATGCTAACCCCTTGGTAAACATAGCATGATGTTGTTCTGTAGATCGGATTATGAGAGCGCCAGATCCAGGCTTTTCCGATTTTTTGAGCAGAGATCGTAAGCTTGAGTAGCAAGGCTCAGCTGGTTCCGCTCAGTGGTGCGCTGTGGTGCACCATTTTAGACGTTCCATGGGCAATCGAATCCTCCGTTCTTCCTGTTCAGTTGTCGTAAATCTGTCTCTAGACTCCTCCGCTCCCTGTCCTCCCATTCGTGTAGCAAGATTCTACCAGAACTTTCCCGTCTTCCTTCGCTCGTTGGCCAGCTCCAGCTGTTCCCTGATTCCTCTCAGTTCATCTCTGTGCCTCGAGTGCGTCTCTTCTAGTAGTCTCGCATGTTCCTTCTTCAATTCCACGAACTCTTCTTCTAGCTTCTCGTGCCAGGGGTAGAGGACGAATATCTGGAAGCAGAGAGCCGATGATCCGATGAGGAAGTTTGTGAGGGAAAAGGTACGTGTTATCATCATTGCGACCTTGTTTCTTTCGGTATGACGAACTAGGTTGTTGGTCCAAAAGGAGGGTTGAATTGGGAGATGAAACCAGTACAGGTCGTAATGAGCTGGACGGTAACGTTACGCAGAAGACAAGGAGTAGAATGGAGAGTGAGAAAGAGGAGTACAACAGCAGAAGACCGTCAACTCCGCGTGCGAAGCAACATTTTAGGCTCCAAAAGTCGCTCAAAGTAAAGTCACATGCATCACTCCCCTTACACATCGATTGGATCTTGGTCTTGAAAGTGGCATGATGGTTGCTGTTTTGGGCCAAAATGGACTAAGGCCCGAAAGAAAATCAGACCACTCAGTGCTGCGCGAAACGAACGGCATGTCTACGCATCGACGTACCGGCGCATTATCGGCGATTGTGAAGATGTTACTATGTGCAAGCACGCGGCGTGGAAGAGAAGGAACGGTGTTCATATGTTGCGGCAGACTAACCCCTGCGATACGTTGTAGTTCATTCGGTATTGAGATGGTGGCTCCTAAGATTGGGAGGCACGCAACTAGTGCGGCGCTAACCAGAATCCCAACATGAGTTGGATATCATGAACGATTCTCCACTTCCGAGATTGGGTGCTACAACAGTTGCGGCTAAGGAAACTGTTATCTCTGTTCCCTTCGCGATAGGTTTCGTGGTAGAACAGAGATATTCAATACTATGTGCAACGAGCAGACCCTCACGGCGATCTGCAGCTACTTGAAGCGCACGTCATCATGATACATGAGTGCGCAAGTATAATGCAACTATACAACATCGACGCCCCAACATCCACTCTTCCCAATCCCTACTCTTGCTCAATTAGAAGACAATTCAGAAAGCAGCAGGAAATAAAACTAGAATGACTTCTCCCAATATCGAACTCCTCACAGCAGGCACTCCCAACGGCCAAAAGATCTCTATCTTCCTCGAAGAACTCGGCATCCCCTACAAGACCACTTCAATTGACCTCTCCAAAGACGAACAAAAGTCTTCTTCTTTCCTCAAAGTCAACCCTAATGGTCGCATCCCGGCCATCATAGACCACACCCGCAACTCCTATGCTGTCTTTGAGTCTGGGGCCATCTTTCTCTATCTTGCCGAGCACTATGACACAGATTTCAAGTTCAGCTTCCAGGACAGTGATGAGGCGATGGAAATGATACAATGGCTTTTCTTTCAGAATGCCGGCGTGGGCCCAATGCAAGGGCAGGCGAACCACTTCGTGCGATATGCACCCGAGAAGATCGAGTACGGGGTGAAGCGATATCAGAACGAAACGAAACGGCTCTATTCTATACTCGAAGCTCGCCTTGAAGATAGAGATTATCTAGCAGGCAAGGGTCGTGGCAAGTACAGTATCGCGGACATAACGACGTTTACCTGGGTTCGGTGGGCACCATGGGCGGGTATTGAGCTGAAGGAGTTTCCGAAATTGAAAGAGTGGTGTGAAGGGGTCGAGAAGAGGGATGCTGTGAAAAAGGGCCTTTTGGTGCCGTCGGGTGAAGATCAGATCGAGAGACTAAGGAAGGATCCGAATGTACAAGATCCGTTTAAAGAGTGGGTACAAAAGGGCCAGAAAGAAGTCGCAGAAAAGCATGGGAATTAACACGGTTCATGACGTGAACATATACTGGCACACTGTCTAGTTCGACGGCTTCATATATGGAGGATGTGAAATGGCTCAAGTACAATGGAGAGGTTAGTTTCAATCGTATGGTATAATCGAAGCAACGACGCGCCCTTGCAAACTTTTTTTCCATTGCTCTTCAAGTTCGACATACGTTCATCTACTACAATAAAATATTTGCAGCAGCCAAGATCGCCTTTGCAGTCTTTCCGACGAACTCCTCTGCTAGAGTAGTATTTCCTGCAACAACGGCCTCGGTCACTCCTGGATATGTAACCGGCGCATATCCAGTGTCAACTCCAGGAGCGAAGACAAGGTGTCTATAAAACTCTCTTCCCGGGAGGCCGCCTTCACTGACGAATCCACGTCCAAAATCGCGTGCCTTGTGGTTCAGCTGTGTCTTGAGCACCGAACTGTTTGAGCTGACAGCCATGTTGCGAGCAGCATTGAACTGCCGCGCTGCATCCTCGAACACAGCAACGGAGTTCTCCAGCTCTCCAAGATCAAGATTTACCTTTGTATTCGATTCTTTTACGATACCTTCCAATTCTTTTAGCCACGCTCGCATCTCCACCCCATAGTTCGCCGGCTCGAGCGGTACAATCTCCTCGTCGACTAAACAATACAGCATCAACGTAAGGAACTTTCCGATGGCTGTGTGCATTACGAAACCTGGATCCGCAAACTTAGTCATCCAATGAAAGGAGTCAAAATTCGAGTGCGTGTGATATATTGGATCGAGAGGCGCTCGCGTGGTGCCCATGTCGATAGCGGAGATGCCGGCCCGATGTACAAAAGCTGTATAGTCGCTTTGCGCGCCCAATGTGTCAATTTCACCAGTCTTTTCTTCCCAGACATCGTATAATGTGCGGTTCTTGCCATGCGGCCAGATGACCTTCCGGGCTGTGGAAGTGGTGAGGGCATGGAGATCAGGGGTGGTACTGAAGTCAGGAATGGTGCCTGCTATGCCAACGTCAATGTTCAGGTAAGACACAACAGATGATGTCAACCAGGGGATGTACTCCTCGACCCATTCGGTACTGAAAAACTTAGTCAGAGTCTTCTAAGCTGGGCTGATATAGGTAATTCACCTTCCAACTAGACCGTACTCCTCAGCATCCCAGCTGCAGAGCACGATGGTCCGCTTTGGTTTCCAACCAGTCTTCAGTAGAGTACCAATGGCTTTAGCCAACTCAATAAGAATTGCGGAACCGGAGTGTGGATCAGCTGTACACGTCAACGAATTGCTCGACGCATCCTTTCAGCATTTGTGACTCACCAGCCCCGCCAATCATCCACAGAGTTGCTATCAGTCAATCAGTCAGTTGTCAGTTCATCTTTGCGGTTCAAACTGTCAGTCTGGAGGTAGTGAACTGACCTGATTGACTGCCAAGACATTTTTTAGAATCGCGAACTGAGACTG